GGCAGCTTCGCAGTTACGCACATGTGTATACGTGCACCTCATTAGCTATACGGTGGTTCCCCTTGCCTATCCCTCTTTCCCTCTCCTCTTCTCATGTAGAAGCGGAGGCCACCAGAACTGGGGGCGTTGGCCATTGGATCTGACTCACCTACCGCAGAAAGCGTGACGAGGCAGTTCGAATCCTAAATGCACTGCATCTGCACACCATGCCCGGTATATGGCATACTCCATCTAGGCGTATTGATGTCAACTATGGAGGATACTATTCTCGACACTCAGCCTAGCAATCCATCATAAGACGCAACACTGTCAAGTTAGCAGTAACTCTAGATACCGCCAACTTCGATGAGGCCAACGCGGTGGTTCATGGGCCTTCCTCAACCGCCTTAATGACCAGTATAGAAACCACTTTTACCCATAAACCCACAACTATCAAGCTCAGAAAAAAATACAAGTACCCTAATAAACCAATCGCCACTACTACATATACAGCGCCACTTTATAACAATAGATACCCTCCAGCTTGGTGCTTCTTGCACGGCAAACGGTATCATAACTGCCGATTCATATGTCGTGGCTAGATGCATCAACTGGATATAAAGAAAAGATCTCCGACGACCTACCTCACATGAGCTGGGCAATGAAATTGGCGACTGCCCACAACACAATACAGCTCACATGTAAAGATCTTCAAGGCAGTGTTGATGAAAATACAATCTTACCGAAAATTTTAAACAAATCAAACAGTGTATTATCCCGCATAGCCAGAAATACATAAGACTATCGTAGTTTATATCTGTCCAGCGAAGGGAGCGTTAAACGAGTGTGTCCTCAGCCGAGGAACTCCACCAGTTGACCTCCGTCGAGCCGCGTCGAAGCTCTTGCTCTGCATAGTCTTCAGATCAAATGGATTTATAGAACCCCTAAGGTACCCAAAGTACATCATATACTCGACATGCTTCCATGCCTCTACAAAAACTCCCAGACTCCGCACTAGTGAGTAGAGATCGTCCAAGTCGCGTTCCTCCGTCGCACACGTACCACTCCCCATTTCCCTTCTAGCCTTCCTCATCTGCATCCTAGCCTCGCCCATAAGGCGTTCGATCCTACCCAGCAACCCCACCGCCTCGTCAAATCGACCCGTTCGAGATTCCCACAGTCCAAGGTGACTCCCATGCTTCAGCGTCACCGCAGCCAACTCCTCAGCAGCAGTTCTCATATCCTTGGCGAACTGCGTCAAGTCCCCCAAGGCCCGTTCAAGCTCAGGGGTAAGACCCTTCCAACTGGGCCGGAAGGAGGCGGCCGCACTAACTATCACCATGGTCCTTCTGGCCAGCCGATCCAGCAACGGCTGAGCCGCTATGATATGGGATGCATTCACTCGACGTTCCTCTGATCTGAAGTACCCACGAAGGAGCGAGAACAGTTTAGTCTCGACATTAGCGTCCATAACCTGAGCCCATCTCACATCGTGTTTTCTCATCAGCTCACCACCAATACTAATAACCCGCT